TGTGCAACAACTTCCTCATCGGGTGCACACCTAGGAGTAGCTGGTGGGCATGCCTTTTCCTAAGTTGTAAGAGTACTTTTGACAATGAAGGGTCAACTGTTCGCTCTGGCAGCGCCGTGACACATGGTGGCTGAAGGTGATGGCTCCCCACCTCTGCCTTAACTTGCCACAGGGAACCCACTTTTAAAAAGCAAATGTTCGTCTTTCCCCTCTCTTCCAAGGAACAGGGCTGTGTGTGTGTGTGTGTGTGTGTGTGTGTGTGTTTGTACTTTTCAGCCCTGAAGGCTGCGTATGCTTCCCGCGAGTCACATTGCAATGGTGGATGGGGCCAGAGAGAAAAGTGGGCAGAGCAGCGATTGCAAATTTTATTTTTGTACAGGGGGCCAATTTCTAGGTACGCTCACACTCTCCTTTCTGTCCTCCATTTAGAAACAGAGATGCTTTAATCCCTTTTAATTGTTTTAAAATGTTTTTTTTTTTTAAGAATAATTTTTTATTAACCGACCAATCACATCAAATCAAACCAAATTACATAAATTTCAAATTACACAGCTGAATTTTAAATTTGTGTTGGGGGTACCCATATTTCAAGTTCCGAAGGGATCCAATCAACTTCTTGCTTCTTACTGCTGTTTTAATGTCCACAAATCTAACCTTATGATGTTCACAGTACTATCTAGTCCTTTCTTATTATTTTTCCACATCTCTTGTTGTTATTTTCATATATTTTTCCTTTCTCTTTGTGACCTCTGATAGTCTCCGTAAGCTGGTTAAAACAGTTTGTAATCCTGCGTGGATATATATATATTTATCCAGTAGCCATATCCAGACGTTTTCCATATAACATCACTTCCATACATCAAAACAGTCTTAGCGTCATTAATCTTCACCAATCTGCCTCCTTTCTCAAAACCTCTGAGGAGATTCACTAGGAATTCAGTCTGAAAACAAATCCGTTCTTCCTCCCAGCTGTAAATCCTTTGGCAAGATGGCGACTCCGAATTAATTGCTGCGCCATGCCCAAAAGCTCTTATTGCTTCTCGGTCTCCATAAAACATACTTTTGGTTAAAGTTTATCTCCACACAGACCTTAATCATCCTGCTTGGGTCAGTTCAACTGACGGTTCTAATGAGGAGGGGTTCTTGTAAATCACATAGAAGGAAAGTAAAAAAGGTTCCCCCCCCCATTCAGCCCCGTTGTCAACATACCCTTTGGTGATCTCCTGACGGACACTCTCACAGGCTTAAGTGTACAGATTTAGAATTCCTTGATGTTACCGTCTCTCCCCACCCCCACCCCCGGTTATAATACACACTGCATTGACTCCAGCTGGTTGAACTTCATTCCTATTGAAACGAATGGCATGCCGAGCTAGTCCCATTGATTTCAACGAGACCTAAGTTCAAGTAATAACTCAGTCTGGATCCAGCTCACAGGCTAGGGATCCTTCACATGAAACCCCAGAAGCTTATTATGGTGCTGATATGAAAAATCTTAAAATAAGGGAGAACAAGACAGCGGGTGAAAATCCTCCCCCTCTTCCTCCTCCTCCTCCTTGCCAAACTAAAGGGAAAGAAAACATGTAATCAGGACAGTCATCTGATGGATGAAATCTTAGCTGGCTGCTTATATGATGATTAAGTGATTTGGAATCTGCATGCATTTTGCTTTTGAACGAAACAAGAATTCTGGGAGAAGGAGGGCAAAAAACCCAACAACTTACTTTGTGTTTAGGGGGTCTATTTGTCTGCCTCCACAGGTACCATCTTAGAAGGGTCATTTCTGTAGAGAAAAGGGGGGTGGCACACACTATTTGCCTTTTTCATTGTTGATTTTTTAAAAATCCAGTTAATAAGCAACACCTTTTCTAGCCAATGAATAAATGTAGAACTGCAGCCCTATGGTAAAGGACATCCCCTCTTCATTCAGCTTGGTTTGGGCGGAAGTCTGCAGGTGGGAAGGAGGCTTCAGAGTTCTAGTAGCCATTAAAAACACCTCCCTGAACCTTTTCTCTGCTTGCGTTCACCATATGGATGAAGTACTCAGGAATTGCCAGTGCATTTAAGGTACCACAATGGGATATAGGGAAGGAGGCAATCTTTTAGGTATGCCCAACCCAGACACATCAGCACCACATGGCCTTGTTAGCCTCCAGAAAATGGCACGTTTTGTCTGGCAGGTTTAGAGTTGCTCTGCAGAGAATACTTAAGGATTTCAATGATTTGTCATGCTCATAGGAGAATTCCAAATATTCCCTATATAGCAGCGGTTTTAGATTCATTACTGAAGGCAAAATCTCTCTTCAGCGTTTATTGCATTTGCTGTTGAAGTTGCAAAGTGCTCTGGCTCTGGATATTGCCTGGGAAAAAAAAAGAAGTACTGCTGTTTTTCTCTTCTCTGCCGAAAGATGATTGATCAGGCACTCAAACCATCTTGGATTACTCCGATACTTCGCTGGACATGCATTAATTACATGCAGTTCATGGCTGGATTGGGTGAATTGGCCGGCTGTAAAACTGAGCTCCACAGGCCTTCATGAGAAGCTCAAATGTTCAGAAAGTTTCTTCCAAAGCAGCTGCCCCGGCTTGGTGACTTCTAGATGCTTTGGACTACAACTCCTATCAGCCCCAGCAGGAAGGTTTGTGCAGGGAGGGAACAACACACTGGGTTTTAATTCAGGCCACAATTCAGGCTAAGTCGTACCTCCCAGTGTTGGAGGTAGTTTGTCATAAATACCACTTGCTGGGGGAGGCAAGAGTGGAGAGTGCTGTTGCACTCAGTTCCTACTTGTGGGCTTTCCTGTGCAGCAACTGGCTGACCACTGTGCAAAACAAGATGCTGGACTAAAGGAGCCTTTTGGTCTGATCCAGCTGCAGGGCTCTTATTTATGTATTGAATAGCCTTGCATTTTTCTCCAAGGAGCTCACGGTGGTTCACTTGGTTCTCTCCTCCTTCAATCCCCACAGCAACCCTGTGAGGTAGGTTAGGCTGAGAGGCAGTGTGACTGGCCCAAGGTCACCCAGCCAAGGTTTCATGACTAAATAGGGATTTGAACCCTGGTCTCCCATGTCTTAGTCCGGCACTCCAACCACTACACCACACTGGCTCTTCTTGGGTCCTGGAGGATCCCATAGGCAAATGTGAGTGGAGAGAACCATTCCGTCGCTGCATCCTGGCTCGGCACATGTGAGCAAATGCAGTCTGATCCAAAGGCAACCAGCTTGAGGCCTGGCAGTTACTTCTCTGGGCTGGCAATGGGGAAACCTTATTTGGCTGGAGCACCATGTTCCCTTCTGGGCAAGGTTCAGAAGGCCTTCCGCCAGTGGTGGATGGGTGGGTGGGGCCGTAGGAAAAAAGTGGGTGGAGCAATGAATTTAAATTTTACTTTTGCACGGTAGGCTGGTTTCTACACTGATACCCCCACTCACACCCTTTGGTATCCTTCACCTAGAAAAGCAAGAGGTGTATGCACAGTTCAAGGACATATTCCAGCCAGGCAAAGTAGCTCTAGGGTCTGAATCAGGTCCAGAGAGGGGAGTGTTCTGGGGGCCAAAGGAAGAGGTGGGGGGGGCACATTCAGCCGCATACCTGAAATTCCTCCATGACTGCACTACTGCACCACCCTTAAATCTCCCAGGACTCCTGCCTTGGTGTGACCTTGGCTGGGGTAGACATTCCCAGTCACACTGCCTGCCTTTTATCTGGTGAGCACTGGGCTGTGGTGGGAAATGATAAGCAGCACTCAGACTCCCTTCCTTGAGAGATTTCTGGGTTGAAGTTGACCCTCTGCAGCCTTGAGTTTGCAGCAATGTGAAGTTGCCCCCCCTCCCCCCTTCTGCTTCAGGTTGGCTTAACCCAAGTTTTCTCGATGCTGTTCTTTCCAAATCTGCCTCCCACCTCCCTGCCTAAATCCGCTCTTGTTATCTAAGCAGAGTGATTAGGTTCTTTACTCCCCTCCTGTGGATGTTGTCAAATAACATGCAGATCCCCCCCAACCTGCTGGGATTACCCTGCAGGCACATTTTAAATGACCCAACAAAGATTGCAGCTGGAAGTGACTTTTCTTTGCCCTTGTTTCCTTCCCCAGATGATTTAGGAAACTTTTTTTTTTTGTATACATAAATACTTCTGGGAAACATTTTGCCTACGTTTATAGAAGTGCAAAAATTGGTTTGGAGTCTGTGGAAATCTATGACTCCCCCTCTCAATTTTTTCTAGTGGTCCTTGAAATTGTTCAGCCATTATTGGAAACTCTCAATGATACTTGACCCATTTAGGGTTTTATTCCCTACCCCAAGTATGCCGGTGTGTGTGTGTGTGTGTGTGTGTGAGAGAGAGAGAGAGAGAGAGAGAGAGACACCTTTCCAAGTGACATAACTATACATTGTAAAACTAAATGTTAGCATGTAGTCATTCTCCAGTTGACATTGAGGTCAATGTTGTCAGAGGAGACTGGACTTCTAGCACTGTATAAATTGCTGAAATATCTGGAGATGCAAAGCGCTCATTTCCCTCTCTCACTTGAGTGTAGTAACCAGGGGTGTTGCTAGGTGCTTAAAAAGACTCTGGGCGCAGGCCCATGGCACATATTTGCATAACATTTGCATATGCTAAGATAGATGTAAATTTAGACTGACTTTTACAGGGGAAAAACAAATTGTGCCTCTTGCTGTCAGGGCTTACTGTAGTCTATGGGGTGCAAACAGAATTTCCCTCTGGGCAAATTAAGTTGGTTGTTGATGGGGTCTCAATAGCCCTGGCTTTGTAGCACATCCAGCTCCCTGTAAGCACTTTATTTTAAAAATGTGACCACAAATAAAGGAAAAAAATAGGGTGAGAATTGCAACCATGCATGTTGGCCAAGACCATGTCTCCGACCCTTTCACATGCAACTCATGCCTTAACCTGTAAAGGAAAAGAAGAGAAAGTCATAACATTTTACTGTTTCAACATTCTCATAGACCTTACCTGTTCCTGGAAAATAATAAGAAACTTGACATATACTGAGTTTCAATATTTAATGTATTAATGTGCTGCAAATGTATGGTTGCAAATATAAGCATTTTTTAAAAAGCTTTTTAAGCTTTGAAAATGGGAGGGGAAGGAGATCTGGGTCCGAGTGCAAAAGATTCTGAACCAACCCCCTACTGATGCTTCTGGTGGCAACAAGTTCAGGGGATATCTCTATGGGTCCATGGTTCTGTGTCACTTTACTTTTGGAAATGTTGGTTGCAACATGCTACTTCTGCGCTTTAAAGGAGTGGAATGCAGATGCCCCCTGCGACTTGCTACACACTTGTTCCAACCTGTTCTTTGTTAAGCTTGTTGGTTGTTCTTGTGTAGGCAAGTCAAAGTATCTGGCCAGCCAGAGGTGGAGGGAGGTTCAAGGTGCCAGTCTCTCTTGAGGTCCACCCACACCACCCACCTGTCCCTTGACCCAAACACTCACTCTGCCTACATTTGTACTACTGTATTTATTTACAAGGCTTGCAATCGTTTGCACTATTCATTTCCAAGTTATTTACTATTTGTTCACAATATTTTGTACTGTAGTTGGGATCTGTCTATCTCGAGACAATGGAGTGTGCCTCCTGGGGTGAAGTCAAACCATTGTGTTAAGAGCACTGAAGTGACCTCCCCGGGGTACAAGCCTGGGTGCAGTGTGTGTGGAAGTCCTGGGCTGCCCACATGACAAGAGCCCCATCTCAGCCTTGCTGATGTCGTCCAAAGGAAAGCAGAGCAATACATTTGACACTGGCTTGGCTGCAGGAATTGCCGGAAGGAGGCGTACAAGGTGCCATCCAGTCACCTTAGGGACTCCACTTCAGATTTGTGTAGGGTTTTCTCCTTGGTTTGTACTATTTATTCACTGTTTGTATGCTCATCATTTGCTATTTATTTGCAATCGTTTGTGCTCTTTATTTCCTGTTTGTTTGCGCAAGGGAAGTCTCCTTGTCCATGGTGTGAGCCAGGGCCAAGCAGGGATTTTGCTGCCCTCCCAACTCACAGCTGCTTTGTGGAAAGTGTGTCTGAATTGCAAATAACTGAATGGCGAGAAGGGGGGGGAGAGCAGTTTCTGCTATGCCCGAGCCCTTCCTCCTTGGGCCAGGGACATTCCCTTCAGGGGTTCCCCAGTTCTTCCTTGGGCTTCTTCCATCCTGATCTGTAAAAGCAGCCACCATCTCTGCTTCCTGCCTCTTTGCTGGAGGGGCTGGTTGTGAGGCAAACTCTGCAATAGCTGCTGGGGCAAGGGGCTGGGGGGCTGGGGAGAAAGCCGAAATCAGCAGTTTTATTTTTAAACCAAAGCACCTGTCAAAGCCATGTGACAAATTGACTGGCCTTTCTCTCTCCCCCTGCCCACCCTCGAGGCTTCAGTAATTGAATCATAAACTTGGTGAAGTTCGTAATGTCACTGTTTCAAATGAAGATTTTTTTTAAAAAAAAGTTGGTTCATTTAAATCTCAAATGTGGGCTTCCTTTTGTTTTCGTTTTGTGGGTGCTTAGCTATAATTGAGATCTTTTCCTGAGCCTGCCCACCCCCCTCCGGCCTCCAAGGCTGAACACTGTTGGGCAAACAACGAATCCCTGAAGTCTGTTAAGAAAGAAAACAGAGAACTTTGCAATTTAAGCTTTGCACACCTATTTCCAAGTTAATTGTTTTCCAATCTGATGTATAGCAGCTACATTTTCTCTGCCTTTTGATTAATAGCTTTGCTAATTATGTGGCAAGGAGAGATGGCTGGATAGATTTTAGACTTCTCTTGATAACGTCCAAAGGGTTAGCCATGCTAGTGTCTTGCAGCAAAAAGATCAAAGGATCTTGCGGCACTTGAAATGACATGGGGATTTATGAAGGCATAAACTTTTGTGGGCAGCAGTCTCCTTCATCAGATGCATGGAGTGTTACCTGAGTTTTGTGTGTGTGTGTGTGTGTGTGTGTGCGCGCGCGCACCAGGAGGAATTGTAAAAAGTGAGGCCAGAGGAAGATTGACTGCCCAGGCTGCTCTGCCATGGACCTTTAAGTGGCCGTCTTAGGCTGAAGGAGCCAATCTGTGGTGCCAATCTGCTGAATTAAAAGTCTGCGTCAATAGATTCAATGATAAAACTTGTAGGCTGAGCTGGGAGAAGGGTGTTTTAGCACACAGAACCATGCAATTGTAGAGTTGGAAGGGACCCTGAGAGTCATCTAGTTCAACTCCCTGCAATGCAGGAATCTCAGCTAAAGCATCCGTGACAGATGGCCATCCAACCTCTGCTTAAAAACCTCCAAGGAAGGAGAGCCCACAACGTCCCGAGGGAGATCATTCTACTGTCAAACAGCTCTTACTGTCAAAAAGTTATTCCTGATGTTTAGTTGGAATCTCCTTTCTTGTAACTTGGAAGTCATTGGCTTGAGTCCTACCCTCCAGAGCAAGAGCAAACAAGCTTGTTCTCTCTTCCATGTGACAGCCCTTGAGATATTTAAAGATGGCTATCATATCCCCTCTCAGTCTCCTCTTTTCCGGGCTAGGCATACCCAGCTCCTTCAACTGCTCCTCATAAGGCTTGGTTTCCCTTCTTGTGGTTTCTAGCAACTGGTATTCAAGAAGCATTACTGCCTCTTTCTGTCCCTGTTCAACATTTGCAAGTTGCATGTTAGTTTAGAGCAGGGGTAACCAACCTAAGGTCCATGGGCCGGAAGTGGCCTGTGGAGGTTTCTTTGAGTGGCCCACGAGCTCCCCCCAAACTGAGATGCCCGCCCGTGCGCTGCGCTAAACCAGCGCAACGCGGGGACTCGCTTCCGTGGTGCCAGAAATTGTGTCTGTGCATGTGCAGAAGCTGAAAAATGCAGCTGTGCATGTGGTCTCTTGTGCGATCTGGCCCACGGAGGGATCTCCGTGGGACGGATGCAGCCCAGGCAAGATATATATATATTTGAAATGATATTTATTAAGAATTTTAAAGTTACAGAAAAAACAAAGAGAAAAAGAAGAAGAAAAAAACAAGGGAAAAACAAACAGCAATCAAACAATACAAATCGATAAAAATCAAAATAAAAAAACAAAAAGATAGATAGATAGATAGATAGATAGTTTATTACGGCCATAGGCCCATATTCAATACATCACACAGCAACACAGGTATAACAAGATAAAATTGATAAATTAAATTACGTTTAAATCAAGTACGTCTCAGACCGTAAGTTTCTAAATTCCATTAAAATAAGAACAATATAGCACTTAAAATATCAAATTATCAGTATAAATCAATATTATTTAGGCAAAATCAATAATCATAGAGTAATCCATTTTTCTTTGTATAGGCTAATACTGTTATCAGAAATCTGGCAACAGAAAGGGACCTACTCGGATCAGAAACTTGCAATAAATGAATTAGCTGTATTTCCAAGGAGTCACCTGAGATTTCCAATAATAAAGGGGACAAAAATCTGAAAAAAAACAAAAACAAAACACATAACACATCAAAATCAAAAAAACAAAAATAAACCACAAAAATTTAAAAACAGATCCAATATTCCCAAATCCTTAACTGTCATTACCTTATTTCATCGACCTCTTCACACCTCCCTTTTTTGTATTCTAGTTATTAATTATCACAGCAAATCCTTCCCATTTTTCATAATATCCTGTCATTAAATTACCTTAATCTATTTTAACCTTATCTTACTATAAAAAACCCTAAAACTTAAAACTTAAATCTTATTTATACCAATTTCTCATAACCATAGCATATTCTTGCATAGTTCTTTTTAACATTTCTGCTAAAGCCAAATAATTTCGTTCCAACATTTTTCTAATACTCATTAATTTTACAAAACATTCCTAAATAAAATTTTAAAACTTTCTTCCAATCTTCATCCAGCGTCTCTTCCTCCTGGTCCTGGGTTTTGTCAGTCCTTTCTATCCCATCCATCTAGTTCATTAACCTGGTAATCTTATGTCCGAGGCCCTTAAGTCTCTTCCATGTCCCTTCCGCAGATCTTCTTCATATTTATACCTGTACTTTACTTTGTCTCCTGGTCCTTTCACTCGTGGAAACTCCAACTTGACAGTATTTTTGTCCCTTCTCGACAGATCAGCCCCTTTTCCATAGTCCACACTGAACTCCATGTGGTATTTAAAAGCATGTTTCAAGGTCCCTCCAGAGTTGAGGACCCCCACAACCCACAACCCCAAACTCCTCACGGCCCATTGCCAGACTTGAAAAGTCAAGACATCCCTGCATAGGGGGGGTCTATCCAGCCCCCCATCTCCAAGCCAAACAAAACTCTATCTCTCCAAATCTGGCTTTTTCCAAGTTCATTTGTCAGATCCAACAACTCATGTTCCTGCTGGGCCACAGCTCCCTCCATCTCTGCCACCCGAGGTCCAGCAACAACCTCCTCCCTCATCTGATCTGTCAGAGCACACTCCTGAGTTGATTCCTGGGTGGTTTCTATATAGATACCCACTACCTGTCCAAAATTTCTAATCGCAACAGTCATCAAATCCGTCTTCTCATGTAACTGTTCCAATAAAGCACTTGTCTTGCAGAAAGCACGCACCAAAGCCTCTGAGTACATTGTTATGCAAGGTCAGAAGTCTGTTCCCACGATCTTAATCTATTGCAGCTGCGAAGCTCCCCAGTTCAAATTTAATAACAGTTTCACCAGCTCCCTCTAGGGGAAGAACTTCTATTTGTATCCATCTCTTTTCTTTCTTTTTTTTTTTTTAACAGCAGATCTAACAACAAAGTTTCCTTTTTCAGATATTTTGTCAATATTTGTTCCTTTAAAATGCGAAAGAGAACAATGGAATCACTATGTTTCTCTTCTTTTAACTGTCTGTCAAAAACATTTGTCTATAGTCAATGAACTTCCCAAAAACGTCTGTTCTGCCACCCCGCTCCCAGGTTCAAGACGGTGGAGAATTACTTTTCTTTACACTCTCTTCTGCAGGTTTAAACAATCCGGAAAAAATCCCCCCTCTTCTCCTGCTTCCGAAGGGGGTTCAGTAATTTTAGATGATGAAAGTTGATCCTTTACAAACGATTTTCTAAACTCTAGTTTGCCATGTCTTTGCTTTAATCTATCTACAAGAAACAGAAGGCTGACTTCCTGTTTAGACCTTCCCGCTTCAGTGCCAAATTAAGAGGAATTTCTTAATCCAATTTTCTGTTCTACTCACAGATCGTTGTTTAAAGTCCAATTGTCCAAATTTGATCTGCTCACGGGTAGTTGTTTTTGTAGCCAAATTGTCCAAGGAAAAAGGTAGCGCTCTCCGGCAACGGCTGTGTGGCTTCGCTCCACGGAAGAAGCAGTTGACTCTCAGCACCGCGCCACTAGCCCCTCTTCACTCCGGAGCCCGTAATTGGGTTCCTTTACGAATTGGGGGGGCGCGAAAGGTGCCCGCCGAGTCCCATGGTCACAGGCTTCATCCGCCTGTGATTTTTTAAAGGGTCCCCGCTTCGCCATAGCGGAACAGACCCATTTTCCGTAGAGCCAGTCCCTCCGGATCAGAGGGAATCCGCCATTACCGATGGCGCCACCCCGGAAGTCCCAGCCCAGGCAAGATAAACCTTGCTGACCCCTGGTTTAGAGAAAAGTTGAGAAAGAGGCAATATGATAGATGGACCAATGGTCTGACTGCATATGAGACAACTTATATGTTGCTAATAGTCACATGGGAACAGGGTGGGGAAAGAGGCAGGTACAACCATCATTTTATTTGTATGATGTCTATCCACACACATAAAGGGCAGCCAAAATGATTAAGGGGGTGAGGCGACTTCCCTAGGAAGGAAGGGGGAACATTTGGGACTTTTTAGTTTAAAGAAAAGGTGAGTAAGAGATGATATGATGGAGCTTTATAAAACTTTGCATGAAAGTGGATAGAGGAAAGTTGTTCCCTTCTCATAGCACTAGACCTCATGGAAATTCAAGGAAGCTGAATGCTGGAAGATTCAGAACAGGTCAAAGAAAGTACTTCTTCACCCATCTCATCGGGTCGCTCCAGCCACTCTGGGCAGCTTCCGACACATATAAAAACATAATAAAACATCAAATATCAAAAACTTCCTATACAGGACTTCAGATGTCTTCTAAAGCTTGCATAGTTAGTTATTTCCTTGACGTCTGCTGGGAGGTCATTCCACAGTACAACACCACCAAGAAGGCCCTCTGCTTGGTTCCCTGTAACCACACTTCTTGCAGTGAGGGAACCACTAGCAAGGTCCTTGAAGCTGGACCTCAGTGTCCAGGCTGATTGACTGGGGTGGAGACCAGTTCATAGAAGGCTATCAGTACTTTGCCTTCACGCTTGGAAGCAGTAATAGTTCTGATTACAAATTGCTGGAAACTGCACAAGGGGAGAGCGCTCTGCTGCTTGTATCTTGCTTGTGGGTTTCCAGTGGGCATCTGGGTGGCCGCAATAAGAACAGGACTCTTGGCTAGATGAGCTCCCTTTTGCCTGATGCAGCAGGGCTCGTATGTTCTTAGCGGTGGCAGTGATGTGTATCTGTGTGCGTGAGAGCGAGTGAGCGAGGGAACAAGCAGCTATTGCAGCAGTTAGAGTGCAACTCCTGTAATCTGAGAAACCAATTTTACTCTGGTATATGAAGTCCCAGAAGGTCAATCAAGCAGGTAACACACTTTCTAGGTATAAATGTGACATATCTGTCCTTGCGGTCCGGCCTGTTGCTAATTTGGGTGCGCAGTCCGCAGGAATGGTTAGGAAAGTCGGTGATTGGTGCGTGGGGAATTCTTTTATTTTCAGCTTGCTTTTCATTACTGCCATGTAACAGGTGAAATCCTGTGGGTTCTCTCTTTCTCTCCCTCCCACACACACACCTTAAATAAAATGACACGTAGCTGTAGGGTGCAGCTCAGAGAACAAAATAAAATGGTTCAATTTTAGACTTGTTCTACCCCACTGATACAGAAAATGAGGTTAGGCTGGAGTTACTGCGGGCGGTGAAATAACCTTGCCGGTAATCTTTGTCATATATACATTAAGAGGTTATGCATTTTTAATTGATATACTTTAAATGGAGGCAGGTAAAACAAGATGATTATTTAAAGAGAGAGAGGAGGAGGAGGGGAACATTTCATCATACATTAAGGGACACAGGGCGATTCTCTTTGGGGATTTCTTGCAGTTCATCAACTTGTGACATAAATATTCAGATGCCTCCAGCTTTTAATTTAACAAGCCCAAAGCAGCCTCCTGTGCTCTTTCCCTCATTAAAAGCAAGCAAACAAAAACAAACAAATAATGAACTAGCCACGGTTATAAAGCACAGGTGTTTTCCCTCTCTCTTTTTCAATGGATGTGAAAATGTCCACCAGGACCATATCAAGTTAAGGGTTCACATTAATCAGGACTCTTTGTGTTTGGTCGTTTAAAAAATAATTGCATGGAGGTAGCCTGAATATTTTGCCCAGGGAAAAAAACAACAACCTGAGCATATGCAGTTAACAAACAGATAAGAGATTTGTGTCCAGGCTGATGAGTATGAGGGATAACTGAACATGCCACCAAGGAGGAAGCACAAGAGTTGCTTTTCTCTTGGGGGGGGGGGTCTTGGGTGCTGCCTCCACCACTGGAGAGGTGTTTTTCCAGTCTTTCCCACGCAGTCTTGATGGTCTCACATGGTGGGATTGAAGGAAGATAAATCAGCAAATATATTTTTGTATACGCTTCTGATGATGATTCCAAGTAGAAAACTGAATAAACATGCAAGGCCGCCAAAAGCATATGCAACCAAAATAATGTTGGCATTTCAAAGGTTGTTTATTCAATTTATGGCACCCCACCTTTTTTTTAATCCAAAGAGCTCAAGGTGGCACATATGGTTCTCTGCCTTCTCATTTAATCCACACAACAACCCTACAAGGTAGGTTAGGCTGAAAGAGCCAGTGCCTGGCCCAATGTCACCAGTGAACTTTGTGAGCGAGTGAGGATCTGAACTTT